CTCTTGAAGGTGTTCAATGTAGGTGCTTGAACCACCTCCAATGGCAGGCTGTTCCAGACCTTGGGCGCTCAGACAGTAAACAAATTCCTACTTATGTCCAGCCTGAACAGTCCTGAAGTAGTTTATAACTGTTCGACCTCGTCATCCCTTGGGGCACTCTGGTGAACAAACATTCCCCCAGATTCTGGTGGTCACCCCTGATAAACTTATACGTGGCCATCAGATCACCCCTGAGCCTGCGCTTTTCCAGGCTAAAAAGCCCCATGGCTCTCAGCCTGTCATCGTAAGGTCTGTTTTCCTGACCTCTGATCATGCGCGTGGCTCTTCTCTGGACTCTCTCAAGCTTCTCCACATCCTTTTTGAATTGTGGAGCCGAAAACTGGACGCAGTACTCCAGCTGCGGCCTCCCCAAGCCCGAGTACAAGGGGAGAATGACGTCCTGGGATTTGCTTGAGAAGCATCTCTGGATGCAAGCCAGCGTTTTGGTCGCTTTACTAGCCACAGCATCACATTGCAGGCTCATGTTCGTCTTGTGGTCAGTCCCCCTTAGCAAGTTTGGAAGGACTTGCTTCCTGGGCCAAACATTCTGTTCCTGTCATATCTGATTTAAAAGTGACCATGCTTTACTCACCTTTGAGTCAGCTGGCCGACAATGTTATTGTTTAATCACAAACACAACAGATGGATGCGCGTGACCTGAGATGGTCCAGTTCCTTCTGTGTCCTTAATTTCCGCTGTCAACACATTTTATTGTTAATGATGCAAATACTTTGCATGTGTGGTTTAGAGTCCAATTCACAACCAAATGCATCTGTCCATCAAAGTAAACAACATTTTTTTTTACATTAAAGTATTTAATTAGTGAAACAATCATTATCAATGTAACAAGCTGAAAAATACAGCAACTTGATACAAGACTGAGGTAACAAAATACTTTGCCAAAAACCTAAAGACTCCCACACAAGGGTTAGAAGTTCAGTGGTTATTATGGGTGAGACAATTCACAAGAATTATAGAAATAGTCCTTACACAAATGGCATGCAGTGGGCTGCTGGAAAATATGGCCAAAAATAGTGCAACAGGTTTCACACGAAACAAACTGAAATATAGAAATTGATTTACTATGTAATGTGACAAATAGATCATAATTTGAAAACTACTGCCTATGCCTCAATTGAGTGCTATTCAGAAAACACGCATTTTGGCACTAAATTACTTTAAAGTACACACACTAATAAATTAATAAATAATATTGCCTATATATATTTTCCATCTGAATGTATTCAACCTCAAAAATGGCTACCAAGGTCCACTTTCTGCACAACTTCTGCAGCTTCCTTGTTTGATTGATGCCACTTGCCTCGTTTGTGATACCCTTTCATAGAGGTGATGTTTTAATCAGTACCAATGCCTATTACTTCAGTGGCAGCTTTCAATTCACAGTAAGGGTGCCAGATACTGAGCACTAAAAAGAAAAAAACAGTAGCTAATTATAGCACTAATACTTTATTTATATTTAATAAGAATTCATTTGAGCCTGGACAGGCTACCATTAACATTCCTGTAGTATTATGCCACTGTGAACCTTTTTACCTCATCAGACAGCCACATCACAATGATCACTGTGCCCTGCAAGGCATGTCCTCTCTGAACGCCCTAACAGTGACCAAACTGGTCTCTTTTCAGTGTGGCACTTGGGCATGTGTCAGATGCTTATGGCAAGGATTTCTTATTGTTTGTGAACCAGGAACCTGTACAGGGGCATTGCCTACATTAGGCTAAAAGATCGGGACAGGGTAGATTTAGCTGTCAGGGTCTCATCCACGCATTAATATAATATCCCTTCTGTGCAAGCTGGTTTCTGAACTCATGCTGAGCCATTAGAATTTGCTGGCTTCAAAAAGCTAATGTTACAACTCCTGTTTGCACATTTTGTTGCTGTGGGTAATGTGTATTTTAATCCTGGCTGCTTGAGGGGAGAGCTTATCTACACGTATGCTGTCCTCATCCTTCTACACACTCGTTTATTACGCAGCCTGGAAGTACCAGTCTTGTAGGAGTTGACTGCTGGCTATGCATTTATCGGTCCCTCTTGAGTTTTGCATTATGTCACAAGCAGCTTTCATTGCCTCTGACCACCGAATGGCTATTTATTCAAGAGAACAGTTTGGTTCTTTATAACCCACCTTCCAAAGCCATTGTACTGGGTGGACCTCTCCTCACTGTAATTCCAGAAGCTCCAAAAGCCTTTAGCAAAACGATATCCTTTAGGATAGTTAAGACCCATGTTTACTATGCAAAAGGGAAGAGGTACTGTATTTAAACACAGCTGAGAAGAAGCCACCAAACTCCATGTAGCAGTACGTTCTGGATCTGACTTAATTCCAGCAATGCAAGGACAGGTCAGAGTGGTGGATAGCTTTGCTTTACTAGTGGGTCGTGAGTTAGTGAAGGGTAAGGATCTTTAGGCTAAGTACAGACAGTCAAGAAGCCTGGAACGGAATAGGATGAATCTTCACAGGTTAGTCTAACCTACACAGATCGAACCGATAAGCAAGTGAACAGACATTCACTTTGGATCCTGGACATGCAGCCACATGCTGCTGTGGCCCAGGCCAGAAGCTGGGGGGCGCTAAAGCACACCTCCCTGCTGGGCTGAAGCAAACAGATTGGGCCACGGCTAGCCCGCCCACCCTGCAAGGCGGGGTTTGCTGGGAAGGTGCAAAGCAACCTGGGATGCTGGCAGACGGTGAGTTAACTTGAATCTGGAGGGGATCTGGGACAGAAGGTCAATAAACTGATTTAACCTAAATCAGTTAAGTCTGATACTACATCCATCCAGGTTTATCTTAAACCAGTTTCAGCCATTTTGAAAGCAGCTTCTGTGCCCTGAACTTCTGCTGTGTTACAGATCTGAACTGGTTTCCGATCACTTACACTGGTTTATGTGTAATTTCTGTCCCTAGTCTTAAGGTTCTGGGCTTAAGACAGAACTAAACATGATAACAGCGCAGTCACAGAACGCTGCTGATTTCTTAGATATGTCTGAAACGCAAGCGCACACCCTGTAACAAATATATTCTGCTTTAATTCGCTGTCTAGCAATGCCCACGCTCTCACGAACAGTTCTAATGTGTAGCTCACTGCAGCCATCCAAACATCTTTGTCTAGGAGAATAATTCACAAATGGTCCATAAGCAGTGACACGCTGGGGACAGGGCCTCACCCTCATCTTCCTTAATAATCTTCTGTTAGACCTTACTTTGTTGTCAGCCCTACTCTTGGGTGGACAGCAGCTGCTGGGTTAACAGCTCCCTCTTACAGGAAGTTTCTGAAATGGCAAAAAAACTAATGTTTTTGCCACTCCTCCAGCTCTGGCATCTCTTGAAGCCTCATAGATTACTTATGCCCAGATCTGTGCGAGTCCTTACACCCATCCTATCTGTCCACACAGGAGCTACTAGGAGCCGCTTTTCTTCAAAAGCTGGTCAGGTATGTTTAATTCTCAGGATGATAATGCTGTCGGTTAAAACAAAAGAATACTTTATAGTCAACAGACATCCTGAAATTCAACATTATAAATACGATTTTTGTAAGAGAAGCACATCTAAAATAAAAGCTGCCAAAAAATCATGATTGTGTGATATCAGTAGAGTAACCCCATGACACAGCATTTATTCTAACACTGGGCTTTGTTCACCCAGGATTACCTCTGATTGCCCATGGATTACAAGGTGATGGTGGCTTTCAGGATTCTCCCACCCAACTCACAATCTCAGCCCGTGCATGGGGAGCTGCAGGGCACCAGGGATTCAGGAACATTTGGAAGCCCAGCCAAGTGCAGGATGGAGGATTTGTGCAATGACTTTTACCTTGGTTCCTGTTCAGCGTGGCCTGAACACTTACTTCCTGCAGCAGAAATGGCAAGTGTTGGAAAACAGGCTGAGCTCTAAATGGAAACAGCAGAAGGCTCTGACCAGCAGACGAGTGTCCGGGCACATGTGGGGAAAGCCCTGACGTGAGGAGGGTTTTTCTAGGAAAGAAGGCTCTTGAGAATTTCAGTTTGCTTTCTCTTTTCAGGACACTGGCTTGGGGGACTCCACACCCTGGCAGCTGCTTCACTGTCCCTCTGCCCTGCTTTGCTCTCATCTCCATCACCCTTTCAGAAGATCAGAGGGCTTCACCACAACAGGTACCACTGCCTGGGTTCTGCATGCCACTGATGCAGGCACGCAGTGTCAGTGTGGAGATGGGGGGCATCCCCCGGGGGATGCTTAGTACCACACAATTCAGAAGACTTGAACTGCTGCATCCATGGAACTAGAGACCTCAGATGAACAGCACCAGAATAAAAGGAAGCAAAACACATCTGCAGGCAATTACAGCACTAGTAAGAAAGCCCAGGAAAGGCTTCAACACAAAGTGAATTTAAATAGCAGTGGACCCATCACTTGTCTGGACATTCCTCAAAATTATACTTAAAAGTAGCACAATCAAACAAAAGAAACACTAGGTTTAGTCAATTATCCTGTGCCAAAATACACATTTCCCAAATAGGTCAAATGTGAACAGCAGAATCGTCCAGAGATTTGATACAAAATTTGAGGCAGCCACATTGCCAAGCAACTCAGTGCACTTAGGTTATAAAAATGTTGTTTCACAATGTTCTATTCTAATTGACACTTTGCAGCAAGTTAACACTGTCAATCGTTTTGTGCATTAGAAAGAATTGGAAACCCAACATGGGCTAAATGTTCTTCAGTCACATAAAGCAGCTCAACAATAAAAAGAACAGTCTAAAAAAAGAATAGGCAGAAGATGGGATGCACAGTCTGTGGTCAAACATTAGTCCAGGGCAGTCTGTGACCACAGGGTTAAAGTCAAGGGCTTGAGGGTCCTCAGATCAGGACTTATCTTCAGCCTGTCTAAACTCTACTTCTGTTCAGTGCATGAGACTATATCTGGTCCTAAGGACAACATTCACTTCCTCTGCTTGTAAAAGCTGTGTCCAAATCCCTTTCAAGTTACATAGGAAAGTGCAGAATGGGCAGCTGGCTCACTTCAGGGACTGCCGCCACCTCACAGAACGACCATCCCCTCCTGCAGTTTGGCACTTGACGTCGCACAACAGATTAGAGCAAGTTACTCGAACGACATAAGGTTGGCAGGTACCTGGAAGAGAATCCAAGTCAGTCAGCAGTGGAGGACTCCAGGCCCTGCTCATGACAATGAGAAATGGTGTCAACCTATTCCATGTCGCGTGTACTGCCAGGTGCTGACAGCATGACTGACTCCAGAACCAGCTCTGCTTGGGGCTGACCTGCAACATAGGCACAGGGCACTGCCCTACATCCTGGGAGGGAGCCCTAGGCTCTCAGGTGACCCTCCTTGTTCAGTGCACGCTAAGGAGTTGCTGTGCTCAGTCTGGGGAAGCAAGGGAGGCCTCACGTCACACCTCAACCACCACAGCTCATAGCCAGACTGGCAGAAACTCACCCCTGCCAGAGATTTCTGCAGATATCCCAGAATGTGGAATCTCACTTGTCCCACTTTGGTCAATGAGCAAGATGAACTGTTGTGAAAATAACTTGACGTGCCTCTTTGTGCAGCCACAAGGCTCACACACGGGCTGGAGGGAGGCACCCCCATGGGCAGGGGCTTCCTGGAACTTGGGAGAGAGAGAGATGGGGCGGAAAACAGATGTTAATAGCTTTACCTGAGGCCTGTTGCTTTTGCAGGCATCATCCAAATGCTTGTGCCACAGTATTGCATGAAACCTTGAACCAGTCTGAAATTTGTAAACATTGCCTACAAAATTAAAGAAATCAGAGCCCTAAGTTTGTGACTGACAGATGTGCACTTTCACTAAATTATAACCTGTCAGCACAGAAGACAAGAGTTTAAGTAAATGCATTCATTTGGGTCTCAAATGCCCAGAACTCCTAGTTTCCACAGCAAGCCCTTGAGATAAGGCGGGCCTGGGGGAGCATGTGCCCAACAGCCTCTGGGTGAGAGGTGGAAGAGCAGGGACATGCAACATGCCTGACGAACACATGGGTAGTGGGGCCACATAAAACTGAGGTGTAATCAAAGACACCAGTCTGGGCATCCAGTCTGACCTAAGTCATGGGGTGCCTGGTTTCGCTTCCCCAGTGCATCCAGGCCCACCCTCTGGGCTGTTTTCGGGGATGCACCCATTGTTTGTGAACCCATCTCCTTTGACAGGCCTTTCAGTTTTGTCAGTCATCTGCACTGCTCCTCCCCAAAGCTCCTCTGCAAGTCAGAGACAGAATCCACTCCCTTTATGCTGCAGGCAAGCAGAACAGGTGAGGGGATTCAGACTCCGGAGATTTAGTCCTGCTTCCTTCAGGCATGAGCTGCCCCAACTGAGTAGCAGGGGGGAGGCACGGGGCAGACACCACAGAGTAGCTGAGGGGCAGTAAAGCCCTGTCCTCTGTTAACTGCATACGCTGGGGGTAACTGTGGGCCTGAGGGAACAAGAGCCACAATGGGACTCATGACCCCATTCATACCTGCACAACTACCTGCAGGGACACCACTCCACCTTTGGGAACTGCTGATTCAGAGGTCATGTAAGCCTCTCTTGGCAGGTGACTCACTGAGGAACCACATGAAAACCACAGACCTGGAGAGGATGGGCAATGCTGGCAGCAGTGACATGCTGTGGCTTCATGCTGGCAAGTCATTTCTGCGCCATCTACAGGACCTCACCAGAGCACCCTTGTGTCTCCCTTTGAATATCTGCTTCTTTATTTTCCAGTGTGGCATATTGCAAATACTGTAAACTAAAAGTGCATCAAAAGCTATTGCTCCAATCCCTGCCGCTAGTGTGTAATGCAGAGAAGCGACATCACAGAGCATTACCTTTATCAGGGTTGTTGAGCTGGAAAATATCCGGGTGTTCAGGATCATCAGGCAGTGCCACCATCCAGCCCACAATAGAAACTTTTTTACCAGGGGTAGATTTATACTGGAAGAGGCAGACAAAAGTGATGGAATTAGCAGTTGTGCCGTTAGGCACTGGGTGGACTGCAGGTCGATATGCCAGCTGGGAGCAACCATGTCTGCTCAAATGCACACTCCTAGTAGTACTCCCAAGAACAAATTTTGTGTTTCTTTACTTACATGTTTTCTTTCTGTGCCTCTTAATGACTTTGCTCCAAAGTAAAGAAGGGTTGATCCTGAGAGTGTAACCCAGTATCTAGTCCATGAGGAGAGCTGAATAAGGAAGGAGAAAATGGGAGGAAGTATTAGTGTGCTTAGATACTCTGAATGTCAGCAAACTATGAAGCATCAGGAGGATTGCCTACACAAAGGGGAGGAGTTTTGGGGCGGAGAGTGCTAGGGCCTGAGTCTCTGCCCGAGTACTTCAGCATTGTTCCCTCTGTGTTGGTGGTTGTAAGACTGCCTGAAGGAGCAAAGAAAACCCACACTGTCCAACTGTCTTTTGACAGAAATCCCAGGACTGATCATTTCAGAGCAGGGTGCTGTGCTGCCCTCACCTGGACACAGCTGATGCCTTCTTCTGCAGTCTGACCAATTTAATTTATCATGCGGCTATTCTACAGTTTTTCAGACCTAGGCGTAGCCCTGAGAGTTGCACACAAAACCCTGTAAGCATCCAAGGCAATCTGAAAACTCCTAACACTGGAGTCTGATTGGTTTCCACTGCATTATTTTCTCCTGCTCCCCACAAACCAGGACCAGGGAAGAGTCCCTTGAATTTGGGCATGTGAAGGGCCTGAGTGCTTGGGCAGAGAGGGCCAGATCTCTGTGGTCCTCCGTGAGCCTCCTGAGAGCCAGTCTGTCCTGCTTCACTCAGACACAAGCCCTTGGTCCCCACCAAGGAGAAGGATCCTATAGCCATGGATGCTAACAAGCCCTACCCAGCTGATGTTACAGAGAGCTGCTGGCCTCTGGCCCTTCTGTCCTGGCCCACCAGTGTCACTCCCAGCCTCTCAGAGAGGCTGGCTGCACAGCAAGCACTGGGGGAAGGGGAAAAAATCTGGCTCTCACTCTTGAACAGCAAGTGGTTTTGCAGCAGAGCAGAGAAACAACACAGTGGCCTGCTTCCTGGAGAAAATTTACTGTGCTGCCTGACCTGGCCCAGCACTGCGGTCCGGAGCCAGCACAGCCGTTATCAGTGTAGGATCACTGCGAAGGTCCAACTTACAGTAGGTTTCTTGCCTTCTTTCAGCAATGTTTTCCTCTTCAATGGCCCTTCCATGGTAATGACTCCTGTGGACGTCCCTATCGTGCAGCTGCAGGCTCCTGTTGGGCTGAGACACACATGGCATGCACCGAGGTGAGCAGACAGCAGAATGAGTTGTTTTCCCCGGCACTGCCTGGTGTACACAGCATCATCCAACAACTTGGTTTGGGGACACCTGCTTTTCAGAAATATCTAAACAACCAGAACTAGTACGTCTAAAACTGGCGGTGTACTGCAGAAGCCTGGAGAAACCCTGGAAGCGCCATGCTGTGCTGAGCTATGGGCACATGGTAATCAATCCAGAAACAGGGAACATTTACCCAGAAGACCTGAAGCTCAGGATCGTACTGTTACTGTGCATAGCACATTCACGTACACTTGCCTATGGGGACACAAACACCCAGCCCATGCAGTTCTGTTCCAGCAATACTATACAGCAGTTCACCAATATGTGTTGCCCTTTCCCACAACCACTTCCCAGCTGCCATCTTCTGCTCCAGTCTCAGTTTCTCCACCATCATCTCTCTGCTGTTTGTCTCAAGCTCTCCCTGCCCAGCCAGTCCCAGTCCTCATTCTGCCCCTCAGTTCCTTGCCAGGTTTATTTTCTCCACCTTTCATATGGACTCTTGGTTCCAGTTTCCTTCCAGCACTCCGCTGATCTGTTTGCCCCATTCCCCCTGGCTCCCAGTTGCACTCTGCTTGTCCAGCCAGTTCTAGCCTCCAGTCCCCAGGCCCTAGCTTGATCTTTGTCCTCCCTCTCTTCAAAGCAGCCAGCCTCCAACGTCATGCTGCCTGGGTGCCAGACTGGGGGAGCCACTGATAGACGAGAAGCACGGGAGAAGCAGGCTCCTTTGCTCTTAGTTCCAGCACCCAGCCCCACCTCAGCCCAGAGGAGCTGGGAGCAGACAGACACTACCGGGAATATTTTGTTCTGCCCCCACAGCTGGTACAGGCTCAGTCACACTATGGATCAGCAGTATGCTCTGTCTGAGCACACGCAGGAGCTATTGGAGGCTGCAGCATGCCCAATAAGGCAGAATCAGAGTTTTAAGTTGCTTAAATCAGACTTTTCTTCTGAGCCCATGTGAATCATGACTTTTTAAAAGTTTTGTTTGTAGGCCAAAACCAGGCAGTTTCACAGGGACAGCTCCAAAACCTATAGTTTTCAAAGTAGAGTTTTTGGAACATAAGCAGATAATGTTCTGGAAAATGGCTGAACTGCTTTGGGTGAAAATTAAAAATAGTCAGCCAGAGGCATGCATTTGGTATGGAAAATTTCTGCTCAAATGCTGTAATTTTGGGAAAGTTCTAAACAACTGAAAACACTTGTAATGAGAACTGTTGGGCAACCTTAATTACAGGCACTGCTACCAGCTCTGCCTATTAAACCATATGGGATTAGACTCCATGAGATACTATATCAGCTAGTTTACTTAGCCACCGTGAAACACAACTACTTCAGCTGTGGATTTTGAAGCATACAGACCCCTACAAAGTGGGACTGATTCTTCACAGCCTTGCAAAACAGTTTTAAAACATGATCCGGTAGCATTTTCTACCCACTTTGCACAGATTCAACTAATTATCCACAGTGTCAGGCTGTGGTGATTTAAGCCTGGAAAAGCGATGCTCAGTTTTTGTGGGCTGCTTCTGCAAAGTCAGATGCTAGCACCAACCACTGGAAATGCAGGAAATGGTGAGTGAATGAACACAGTGAGTAAACAGTGAAGCTAACGTATTTCAGAAGTTCATGGGACAACACAGATTTTTAACTTTATCCTGACAGAATGCAAAAAAACATTCTGGCTTCTGGCAAAGCTGAGCAGAAGGCAGGGTAGATCTGCACTGTCTAGATAATTGCCAGTAAATTATATATATGAGAATAAGCTTTTGTGAGCTGGACATATGGGCAGCGCCCCTACCCCTGCTCCCCTCAAATAGCTCATTCTGGGGAGAATTACAATGCACTTGCTCTAACTTTGCACTTTGTCACTTCAAACTGTAAGTGGAGCATTTTTCCCCCCAAAAATTCAAGGGCCTGAACCTGTTTCCATGGAAGCAATATTTTACCATTTTGCTATTTTATTTCTCTTGCTTCTTGGACCATACAACTCAGGGTAACAGAAGCACTTACAAAACTTGTGGTTTTGACACTATAAATTGTGGAAACAAAGAAACCTAGTCTGACCTGCTGCATTGTAAAATAAGCGCAACATTCATTTTATAACGGAGGACATCAAAAAACCCCTTGTGAGATACCCAGCATGTGGAGACCATCACTGATGAAGAGGCGCTGGGACAGTGCATCTAGCATATTGCTTTGCATTGGTTTCATACCTCCTACCAGAGGCCAAACCTGTACAAAATTAGCATGATATACCTACAATCTCTCTGACTTTACCAGACAATATGGAATTAGTATTTCTAGTTTAAATCAGAAATAGTGACAGCGAAGGGTCAAAAACCCACACTTTTAATTACTCTGTGCAATTAATGATTTTCTAAAAGCTAAATTCAGCAAAAAGAGCATCCAATTTTCATGGCAAACCTGCTGAAGAAATAGCATGAAAAGCCCTAACCATTCAGGTTTTGCAGCATGGAAGCTGTACATATGTATTAGTTTTAGTACCTAAACTCCCTTCCTTCCCCTAGATAAGAAGATACGACTCCTATTAGCATTACCAGAATCTTTGTGCAGAAATGAAAGGGGAAGATAGACCTCGGAGGGTTACCACAATCGCACAATGATAGTTTTAAAGAGAAGATGCATTTGGTTTCCTGAAGGAAAACACAAAGATACAAATGAGAATTCATGACTGCACGCAAACAAACAGACCTGCCACCCAGCTATACCTGTAGACACAGCTTCGACTTCGCGGAGAACTCCGAATTGGTACCCGCCAGTTGGGCCCCAGCGTGGCGTACAGCCGACCCCTGCGCGGAAATTCAAACGTGAGTTCTTTTCTAATATCAACGTTATGGAAAGCACCACCAAACTCGCATGTGACACAGGCTGAGGGAACAATCCTCTATGGACAGCAGCACACCTCGGGAATGGAAAACATTTCAGTTGCATATCTTCAATTTAAAAAAAGCAGCACATTATTTCCCCTATCTAAGTTCAAAATGTGTTTCTGGGAGCAAATCTATGTGAATGGACCAACAGGGTCAGACACAGGTTGGGATTTAACATGGCAGATGCAGCTGACATTTAAGAAAATAATTCCTTGCCAACAAGTTTGTAAAGCTGTTGTCCATTGCTCAGACTGTACATTTCCTTTTACCTGGATGTATTTCTGCTTTTATGTCTAAGAAGCTACCATGCCAGACTGCTCTGTGTTATCCATGTGTTCCTTTATATTTTATTTTTGTAATGATATAAGCAATGAGACATACAGGTATATGTTACAGTTATGTTATTTAGGACACCTCAGCTGCTATGTGAATATATGCCATCCTTGAAATGGTATAGCTCAGTGATACCTAGTGAGGTGGCAGTTCATAAGGAGTACTTTGGACACGTATGAAATGTATAACTGGCGACCCTTACTGCTTCTGTCTGAAAAGCATTATAAACTTGAGGGAAGATATCTTGCAAGAGTTCTGAAATGACTGGGCACCAAGTGGTCAGGGGATTTAGTCATTTTAGCTTCTGTATCTAGCATAAACCAGGAAACAACCCTGACTTTCTGCAACATCTTATCTGAGAGCTGGAAACTGGTTCCTTGTATTCAGTGCTCCTGTACCATCTGTACTGAAAGCAAGTAACTCCAAATCAGCTCAGGAGCACACATGAGCTCTGATTATAAGGTTTGTTGTTTAAAAAATATATATATACATTAACATTTATGACTAGGATTTAAAATCAATATTAAATATCCTGTTGGAATATTTAATATGTTTGGCATCATTTCAGTCACTTGTGATCACAACATTTTGTGTCTGTCTGGGTTCTGATATTACCTTCCTCCTATAACTGCATGTTAATGCACAGTTGAGATTATTTCTAAAAGCACAGCACCCAGGCAGAAGGCAAAAGGTTTCGGCAGAAGCCCGAGCTCTTTCAAATTTAGGAATGACATTTCCTTAGCCAAGTTTATGATCTGCAGAACGTGAAGGTGCTAAGCTCTTTTAAACCGCAACAAAGGAGATCTGTCGCGTCAAATACACGTTCCTCTGTGGTCTGCATCACTGTAGTATAAACACCTAGGACACTTCCTCTCATTAAGCCAACCACGAGCCCCATTCAACAGAAAACTGGGGGTGTATAACTAGAGGAACATTGTCCTTCTAAGAATTAACCCTACAGTTGGTTATACAAGTTAGTTACACAAAGGGCAAGTTAAATACAGAAAGGAGACCTTAATTCCGATCTTTCATGTTCTTCTCATGGAGATTTTGAGAATAATGCAATTCTTACAGGACAGTTTAAAGAAAATGGAATAAACAGTAAAACAAAGTCTGCTATTTTATAGGTGCAGTGCAATACAGTCGGCCTTGGAAGGCACATGCTAGGCATCCTTCTTGCACACACGCATGCACCCACTGCTACCCTGTACTGATATAAATACCTGAGACTCATCTGCATCTACAGTAGTCACTTTGGGAGTTCACTCTTAGTTCACCAAGCAGAAGCCTGTCTAGACCGCTGGGTTTTGTATTCTGCACTGCACTGAAGTGGCTAGTTTATAGCCCAGGCTACCTGCAGCAATGACAAGTCACACTCATTGGAAGCCCTAGTAGATACGCTACCTGTAACTCTGTAGTAACACAGCTTCACCAGGAGAGCTGTGCAAATAATTGATTTTTCAGTTTATTCAATATACTAAAAAACTGGAAATCTTTTTTCCTTCATTCACCTGAAATGCAAAATATCAAGGTTTTTTCATGCCAAAGTTAAAGACAAGAATCCCAAACTGCAACAATTTTTCCCAGGGTGAATAAAACATTCCATTTGACCCAAAATGAAATGTTTACAGTTTATGGCTCAGGTGGCCCCACCTCTTGCTTATATTAAAATAAACTAAGCTATAAAACAAAAGATCATTTCTAACTGAGAAGTAAAAATGTTTCACTTAAAAATACTGAAACAAAGAATTTTTAATTTGATTAAATTATTTTTTCCAACTTTGGTCCAAATTATTTACTGAGTTTAACTCAAATGTGAATAGTTTTGGTCATTTCAACACTACATTCATAAGCAAATAAAATAGTTGTCCAAAAACTGTAGCTAGCTCAATTCAGAAGGGAAATTCTAGTGTGATGCTTTCAACAATGAAAGTTTGGAACAGATTCTAGAGTGTTAAATTAACGATTCACTTTACAGAGAATTCAAAATAAACCAACCTTTGGATTGTTAAGCCAGTCTACTCAAATAAATAAACATATTACATTCATTTCCTCAAGAAAAGGCGCTTGCGTTTTAAAGCATACGTTACTCTTCAAAAACAATCCTGTCTGCATGTCACAATGAATGTTGCTTCTCAATATAAAATGGAGGGAGATGAATTTCAGTAGTAGTTTACATATGAGTTAGTGCTCTGCAGACCAAATTTCTTATAATCTCTCTCCTATTTGTAGAGTTTCAAGAATAGCTGGAGCTGGGCGTCTTACCCATTGCCTTTTATACTTTTCAGAACTAGTGTGATCTTGATTTTTATGCATATTTACTTTCATTTACCACTAAGAGTATTGTTTGGATATGAGGATTCAGGGAAACAACTACGTGCCTGCATTGTTTGCCTTTGTGTATACTAGAATTAGGCAACAGCCCCAATATAATGATGATGAGGTTTATTGATAATACTGCTTTAATTATGTGAATTCAGAAAGTCCTGCAAATAACAGGACAATCTCTTTTCTGCCCCCCGCCTTCCCAGACGAGGTGTGGGAGAAGCAAAGCAGATGTGCTGCCCCCACTCATCGATATTTCTTGTGAAGAAGAATGGGAAGGCAGAGGTGGAAAGGAACTAAGTGCCCGCTTGGACAGAGTCAGGAAAATGTTCCTGGTATGCACCATGTCTGGTTATTCAGACTGGTTATTACACACTCATGGCACAGGCTCCAATTGTAACATTTCCTATTCTCACTGCAATCCCGAGGCAGAATTTTGCTGTGCAGTGAAACCGGGCAAAGTCCTCTCGCGTTGTCTCTCTATTTCGACAAGCCGGTGTATTCTGGCATGGTGAGCTGAGCAGCATGCCCAGAGCTTGGGCCTCACAGACTGTATGACCAGGAAGGGACTATGATGAACATCTGGCTTCACCTCCGGCCTGACACAGACCAAGGAACTTCACCACTTGATTCACACTACAGCAGGTTGCTTCAGAAAGACTTCCAGGCTTGACTGAAAGGCCTGAGTGAAGAAGCAGCCCTTTTTGTTGGTAAAATGTTTCACAGATTGATTCCCTTTGCAGTGTTACCAACACACGGTACTCTTCTGCCAAATTTCACTTTCCAGTCACTCAATCTCAGATTGCTTTGGTCTGCTAAATTACAGAGCCCTTTTCTATCAGACATGTCCACATGCACTTCTAGATATCGTATGGCAGATCTGTATGGCGCAAGGAAGCACCATGCAATGCTACTAGCATTTCCTCCGCAAGTGCAGGCTCCACAGCCAGATACAAGATAGCTGTGTTTGTGCGGCTTGGCGCTTGCACTCATTAGCTCTGCTGAGACGCAGGATTGATTAGCTCCAGTTCAACACTGTGCCTGTCCTGTTTCTGGTTGAGAAACCAGCACATGCAGAGGTTGCTTGGGGCTGTCCCTGCACTGGTTGCCATGCTCCACGTAGACATACTCCCAGTTTGATAACAGGTGCCCTCATCCCTCTAAGGGTAATAATCTGGAACAGCTTCCAGCAGCAGCTCTGAGGGCAAAAGCCCTGGGGGTTTCAAGATGGAGCTTTGTCAGCTCAGGGAAGGGATGCAGCTGGCTGCCTCCCTGAGCCATTCACTTTGCTTTACTAATGAGGCAGTACTTGGGTGACAGTCATAGGAACAGAATCTGCTCTCCCCGCTTCCCCTTACTGACCATGACTTTAATTTTGAATAATCTCAGGCTAAACTATGATACTTAGGTTGCATTTGTTCCAAAGGCTGTCTATTTCTAAAATCAGAGGATCAATGATTTGATACAGAATTTCCTGTTTCAGACACTTTCACATTATTGAAATATCCCAATTCTGGCAGTTGCAAAATAGTGTATTAGCACCTACATAAGCTGCAATTCCACGTGATGTGAAGACAATGAGTTATAACTCACCTTTCAAGCCCTGAAGACAGCTCCTCACTAAATTCTGAGCTTTCACTACTACCTAGAAAAGGATGAATACAGGTAAGTGAACTGGTTAAGGAAATTTAAAATCCAAGAACCTGGATTCCTTGGAAAATTGTTACATGATAGCATGGGAACTGCACATTTGAGCTATGTCTGAGTGAATGCAAACTTTCAAGATGAAGATAAAATCTGACACAGGAAGAAGCCTGCAAGCTCCTTTCCATCTACAAGGCAGTTTTGATGAACAAGGTGGCTGCTGCTGCTGTGTTTTATATATCAGAAATTTCAATACGTTCCTTTTTTTACTTTTCCTTTCAGAACCTCCAGGCTGCCAGGAGACAAATCCGATCACGCCTGCAAAGTGACTTTTGATATTTTCAAGACCCCAACATGTAAACAAGCATTAGAATGCAGCTCTAGGAGGCAAGACCATGGCTTTCTTTCTATCAGCTGGCAGAGCATATAATGGGGAGGATGCTCAAGCCATATGTTCTTACTTGAGGCACTGCACATTAGCCAGAGCCCATTTACAGCTCTGGCCCCCTTAAATCACTCCTCTCTTGTACCTACCCTGGCAGAGCCCGGTGACTGAGATACACATACAGAAACAGGCCCCACCTGTCCGTGGCTGAGCTGCTAACGTTTAGTATATTCCAGAAAATCTGTCTCTCCACCCCACATTTATCTTTTGGTCAAGAACTCAGAAATAATTCTAGTTTCAAGATCTTATTGCTTGAGTGAAAGTCCTTCAGTCTCCTCTCTACTATACAGACAGGCTAGGTCACATAAGAAAGCGACTTTCTATTGCCAACCCTACAGATTATTTGTGATGCACTCACTACTGCAAGACCCTGCTGACACCACTCTCTCTCTTCTGCAGAGTCCTATTGACCCAGATAAAGTTTCACACCAGTCAGAGTTCCTTGCTGCTAGCAAACCTGCAAGTGGAGGTAAGCAGAGTTTGATGAGTTAGCCTCTGGCTGAAACAATATAGACTTGCAGTTTGATGTGGTCATGAGGTGGCTTGGCAGGTGAATCTGGGACTGTGCCCACCAACAGCAAGCTTAAACCTTCTGCAGCAGCATGGTGAAGAAGTCAGTTGAAAAAGAATGACTTTTCAGCTTCTGCTTCCACTGACTGTTCTCACAAACCTGAACTGGGACTCAACTAGCAGGCCATACTCATTAATGTAGACAAGATGAATTAGGGTGGATGTTAGATGGAACTTTCTTACTCTGAGGGTAGTTCAGCACTGAACAGATCAGGGTGGGGTGGCAGCGAGTGCAGTCTCTCCCACGGGGGAAGTTTTTAAGAGAAGGTTAGACAAGGTTTTAGCCAGGGACAACCCTTCCCTGGGCAACGGGTTGTACTAGATGACCTCTTGGCATTCCTTCCGGCCCCATTTGTCTGTGATTCTAAGGCTAGAAACAGGGGCAAAGCTTTTATTTTGGGATCCTACAGTCTGTTGTCTATGTGAAATATCCCAGTTAACATTTTGTCCCAGGACAACAGCAGCGAATTCCAGTTAACTGCCATTCAAGTTGAGTGTGTAAACGACTGTTCCACACCTGTTTTGATACTTGTCAGAGCCTGGGAGAATCAGCCCCAGGACAAACCCAATGTCAGTTTTTAGCTCAGTGCAGATGGCAGGCCTTGGAAGGCACATTGGGTTGAGGGAGTAGCTTCCTCAAAACTGCAAAGTTTAATAAACCCCAGGTTACCTTAACCATAAGAGCCTCTCTTATCAATGCTGTTCTTTCCTCTTCTTTGCTGCAGTTTGCTCACATGATGTTAGTTCCTACCCCATCATGCCTTCATTATAAGACAGACCCAAGTCAACCTTACTTTGTTTTAATGAAGGCTAGCAAAACTTGTTAATTTTACTGTACTTTCTAAGCAGGTCTTGGCAGTAGGGG